CTTTTATCAGCTAATATCACAATAACATGCATGGAAGTACTCTTTATGTACATTTCTGTTGCTAACGACTGCAGAATATGTTTCTGGAATGACCCATTTGATACGATAATGTCACAGCAACACAGAGGAAAAGTGAACCAAAGAACTACCACCTAAACTCAAGACGACCGAAGGGCTTCGGTAAGATCATTATCCACCATTCAGCATCTCTCTTTTCTTCCCAAGTACAAATTTGGCAAAAATGGTGATATTGTTCCCTCTGTCACTAATGGGAATATCTCTGCAAAAACATGGGCTTTCTAAAGGGAGAACACACTGCATTTGGTATTTGGCTGCAAGAAGACGTTCTTTTGTCAGATTTGATGGAATGGAGAAGCTCAGCCCATTGTATGAAGAGCAAAACAAGGTGGATGGGTTCATGTTTGCACGCTAAAGGTAGAATACATGAATGAAGTATAGCACTGGAGAATGTGTGAGCGCCGGAGAATCCTGAAGGTCAAACTATTGTGGAAATGTAAAAGGTCTTCAAGATTGTTTGGCATGAAATTCATTTCAATAACAAGAAAAAGTCATAAGAATGTACGAATCTGAGTAGAAGCACCAGCAAAAAGAATAATATTAAAGAACATTTTAATAAAACTCAAAACATTTATGGAAGTTCAAGAATCCCTATACAGACCACAAGTGTGTGTGGAATATGAATAATGGAAACTTCATTACTCATAACCTTTAATGTTTTTAAACATAGGAGGCGATAAATGGTGAGTAAAAAAGAAATGGGAATCCTATCTGAATTCATTTAGAGTCTATTACAGCATTCAGTGCTTACAATAATAAGAAATCTTTCTAGTGGCAATATACATGTTTATCTCAAAAAGCTATCCAACTAAAAATTATGTATTTATGTAGGCTATATAAGACGATCAATAACACTGAACTGAACACTGCAACAAAATTAACTGAACACTGAAACAATATTAAGGTAATATTATGTTTTTATTAGCTGTTTGGACTTTCATTCTGACGGCACCCATTCACTGCAGAGGATCAATTTGTGAGCAAGTGATGTAGGCCTAATGCTAAGTTTCTAAATCTGTTCTGATGAAGAAAAAAACTCATCTATATCTTGGATGGCCTCAGATTAAGTGAATTTTTAGCTAATTTTTATTTTGTCTTAATTATTCCGTAAACACTTTAGTCTTCGATAACGATAACTGCGCAAGACGGCACCACTTGTGTTAAAATACGACAAGACGGTGTAATAAAAGAGACATTAAAGTAGTACCAGTAAAGTAGTTACTCAGATGAGTGGACTGATATGCAGCATTGCAATGGATGAGAATATGAGGAACATCAGAATTGAGAGCCGTGTAATAAGCAAATCTACAGTCTACTACGTTCTTCTTTCTATGATTTAATGCATATTTAAATGGTGTTTTCATTACAGAAGAATTGTGGACCAAACAGTTTCTATGCTTGATCAGCTAATTTAGCCCAGATTACTCCAGCACAACTTCATTAAGCCACCTAGCCTCATGTGACTAATGCATACAAATAAAAATACAAATATTTCCCGGCACGGATGAGTCCCTGGGGCAGAGGCAGGTGTATGACTGAAGATTATTCTTGCCATTTTCCAAGTTAGTTTTTCACACCTCTCCAGAATACAAAACTCAGAGATCCAAATATATAAGAAAGTATGTTGCTGTGTATCTCTCTCTCTCTCTCTCTCTCTCTCTCTCAGTGTCTCAGAGGTACACGCACGCACACACACACACACACACCCACACCCACACATAATGACACCTTAGCAGCACTGCAAGCATATTTTCTCTGGCAGTGGGGAAATAGACTTCTTTTTCAGTATGGCCAAGATAAACTAAAGATGTAATGCATTATTTAGACCTATGGCATGCCCTTTCCAGAGGTAGAAGTGTGAACACCAGACATTGTGGATGTAATTTCAATGGATGGATGGATGCACACACACACACACACACACACTTTTGAATAACAATTCGGCTCAGGGTTAGGGCTGAATGGTTTAATACTTGTCTCATTAGAGGAGTAACGCTGCGTGTTTCTAAGCATTTCAGGGGACCTTTAAAGAACAAGGTGTACAAAAACATTGGCTCTACTGTATATTATGTGGGTCATTTCTTTGAAATTCAACTTTTAAAAACTGAAAGTGCTTGTAATTTTTGGAAGTATTTCTATTAAAGATATTGATATTTCTGTTGTAAAGGATGAAACCGAAATGTAGGCTCAATCACAAATCCAAATTAAATTAATAAAATCCATTGCTAATACTTGATGTTTGTGCTGTTGTTTCCCCTCTAAAATGTCACTTCCTGGAGGATATAATTTTTTCTTAGGGTATTACAAAAGGCTTTGGATAAACCTATAAATTGATTGCCAGTTAAAGCAATATTTCCAATGTTTAAAAATATTGTAATTTGATTAATATGACATTTAAAAAAAAAATTTAATTTGAGAAGTTACTAATTTAATTTTCATTTCTGAAATCTATAATATTTTAGGACAATGGGATATTCAATTGGGCCAGTTTTATTTTTCAATTATGTATATATTATTATAGTGTAATTGTAATCATTTTTATGTGCTTAAGGTTTCTTTTTTCATCTTGTCTTATTTTTTTTTTTTTCCCTCAAACTTTTAGTTTTCAAAAATATGTTTAATAGTTTTCGTTTTATTTAAAGATAATTACACTGGATGTGGACATAAAAATGTACTGAAAAATAGGAATAACCCTTATGTTTTAAGCAGTCATGCGGCAAACACTCATAATTGCAATATATATTGCTCTCAGTTCCTTCCGGTCTTTCAGCTTTGATGCAAAAAATGTTAAAGAAACATGAGCATGAATGTACGGTGGACCAGTAGTGCGCAACACAACGCAATTAAAAAAGCAAACATAAGCTCACAACACAATGCAATTAAAAAAGCAAACATAAGCTCAAAACGCAATTCCTCAATGTAAGCGATTGATCTTAATATGTGTAATCGATTTGTAAATGAACAATGTGTTTTTACTGAATGTTTTGATATCCTGGTAATTTTAATGTATCGATTCATGAATCGAGCAGAAAATAAATCAATATTATTTTCGATTTGGACTGTTTAGCTCTGCTCTTGTGCACAATGGACTCTATGCACGGTCACTTCCGCGTTTTTCCTCAGGGGGCTTACTTAAATCCGGTGCTGTGCCGAAAGCCATTGTTCCTTACGTAGAGCTTTCAAAATGACAAGAGGAGAAGATGATTTTTCAGCTTACAAGAACTTCCCTGGATTACTGTAAATTAATTTCATCGCACGGAGAAGGGGATTAAACGTTTCAAGTTACATCGACAACTTTAGGGTGAGTATTGTTCTATCGTCTTCTAGCAAATCTTGCTAATAAGGCTGGATAACGCTGCATGACTTCTGCGCCGATTTGATCAACACTTAAATTGCAGGGCTAAATTAGAGTTTAGCTTTAAACTCCGTCCACCTCAGGTTTTTATAACTCCTAAGAGATAGTAGCAATAACATCAGAGCTCCCGGTAATCCACGTTTGTTTGAAGTAACAAGTCTGCCACGTTTGTTCTGACCAACTGAGGAAAAAAGCATCACAATAAATCGTGCTACCAATGGTGATTTAATCTAAAGATCGGTTAGCTCATATCACATCAAACCGTGCAAATTATTATTATTGTTATACTTTATTCTCAAATTAATAATGTTAACAACATCATCATTGCGTGACTATGAGTATAGCGTGTGTGTAGATTTCAATTCCTGTACAGTCTAATCTCTAATTGTTATACCATTCAAATTTCATACCAAGAAATTATTTTAACCCAAAAAGCAAACTATGCTCCCTTCGAACTGGTTGTCTTTAAAAATACAAATCGTGTGTAATTCCAGGCTATCTGTAATCAGAAGCACATTTAAAACTGGAATATAATTTAATTTCATTCACATGTGTTTCATATAATCCTTTCTGGATTACAATCTGCTATCAAAATAATTTTTTGACATTTAATTATTCCAGCTGCTGTGAGAAAAGGCTAACGATCTGCCACCTGCAGCATACTCACATGCGATTGCCGAGCAGTCAGGACAACTTCTTTATGTTTACAGAAGTGACGTAATGACGCAGCAGCATGCTCGAATGTCCCGCGAAAACCTACCCGTACCACTCAAATTAGAAAACATTATCCCATTTTTAGATTGCCATGTATCGTAATAAACCTTAAGTCTGACAGTTTCTGGCAGGTCATTATTATATTTTACATTTTTATTATCTGTAACCTGAAGCTTGAATTGATTGTTTACATTTAATATAGCAGTTTTCCAGAGACCCCTAACACAAACATGATGAAGCTGTTCAGTAATAATGCAAACAAGATCAGAAATGGTTAAAAGGGATAGGAACATCCTTTGAAATATTACTGAACTCTTTACAGTGTATTGGCATGTTTGTAACATTATATAGACTTAATTCTTCATAATTTATTTTAAATATAGTTTAATTTACAATGTAACAATTTAAAATGCAACTGAAAGTAATTCAAAATGTATCTGAAATCAATTCAATATGTAACCCAATGCAATTATCTTCACAGATTGTTTTAAAGGACTCCCATCCATACTGTTGCAGCACTGTACCAGACAGCACACTATTCAGAACTGAGAGTGGTAGGGGTGGGGGGTCCCCCTCGGTCTATTCGCCGCGGGGCCCGGTGCGACCGCACCAGTTGCACCCCCCTAAGGACGGCCCTGGCAACATGTAATGACAGTGGTGGAAGATTTTTCCTTTTTTCATGGTCAATTTACACTGTACCTTTGTTTTTCATCTCAGGAGAACGCTTTACAGTGGTGTCACCAGCGATCTGCTTGACCTATCAGTCCTCCAAGTGGCAGAAGTGTAAAAAAAAAAAACATACCATTACACTATCACAGTTATTAGTATTTTACATAACTATTACACTGTATCTATTCAGAACTGAGAATCAGTGCAGTTCCTCCTGTACAGAGCTGCACTGAATGGAGCAGAACTGGCACAAACCTAGAACAATGGTAAGATAATTATAAAATTCTTTAATGAATGACATAATTAATAGACTTTTTATTAATAATATTAACATGCCCCATTGGTATGCCTAGAGAGTTAAGCCAGGTCCTGTCAGTGGGATGGTGGTCCTGTTTGCAAGAGAGGAAACTCGCTGAGTGGTTAAGGTAGGAGTAGACTGTCTAATTACATATTTTCATATCTTGCTATATTCATAATGTATAACATGCCTATATGATTAGCCCTAGCAGAAAAAAGACAAAAACACAATCATATTGGATATGGCTCCATTCATAATGTATGCAACATGTAATGACAGTGGTGGAAGATTTTAATTTTTTTTATGGTCAGTTTACACTATACCTTTGTTTTTCATCTCAGGAGAATGTTTACAGTGGCGTCACAGTGATCTGCTTGGCCTATCAGTCCTCCAAGTGGCAGAAGTGTTAAAAAACCATAGCATTACACTATCACAGTTATTAGTATTTTAAATAACTATTACACTGTATCAAAGTTTCTAAAATGTACGTGTTTATATTTACATGTTTAGATTACACTAGTGAGCAAGAAACTGTATTAAAGACATTATATTTAATTTACATTTTATATTCTAGTCTGTACAAATAAAACCAAATTAATCCATCTCGAGTGTTTTGTGTAAGGCCAGATCTCTCTGTGGAAGACCGACTGAAAGATGGACCATGAAGAGGACGAACTCATCGAAGGGCTGCAGAGACTGACACTGACAAAATACATTTTAAATAATTATGATACATGCATGTAACGTGTGCATCAAAAAATAAGAATAAATATAAAATTTTCTTTCTCTGTCACAAATAATATAATATCAATATTTACCATTGCATTGCTTGTTATTCCAACTTCTCTCCTGGCCGTAGCTGTCCTCGCTCTGGTCACACAAACCATGTGGAATGCAGGTTCAATAACTCTCCAAAAGGCCATTAAATGGTTCTACATATCAAATCTAGATTGGATGAGACATGTTTTCAGAAAATACACACCACACAATGTAATAATGCAAGTTAGTTTGCCTACACTGAACCTGAAGGCAGGGGTGCCCATGCACTTTGGGGGCCCCCAGAGATCTGTTTTATTAGTGGTAATAGTAGTATTAGTAATGTAATAGAAATTATAAATGTATCTACCAAAGAGTTACAAATAAAACAAAATTACGGCTTATTTCTGCATTTCCGGCAAAACTATCTCCTCCCATTCACTGCATGGTTTCGTCCCGTCCTACATAGCCTAGAGTCACTTGCCTTGTCCAAATACCCACACTTGTGGTCTTGGCCACTTGAGAGCGCGTGCGCGCGACAGGAAGTAAGTGCGCAAGACTGTCCCAGGTCTTAAAAACGCCGAAGCGCAGTGCCCTTGACGCACACTAAATCCACACTATTCGAGGCTTAGTGTGCCCCATCATGCATCATGTTCTGGAAATAAATCATGAGACTTTTTGCCAAGATCGCGAGAGGTCAGGGAAACCTTTCCAATGTAAGTTAAATATGAATAATAATTAGATATTACATATAATTTGGTAGTAAAACAAATTGCTACACGTTTTACTGGTGCAAAGGTGAGTATATTTATTTTGTACATCATCATTTTTATCACTTAATTTGAAGCACCAGAAATTAAATTGTGCCATCTGTTATAGGGACTACTGAACAGATATTTAGAAGTTTATTTTAAAATGCAAAGTATTGAAAATAAAAATGAAAACTCTGTAAACACTTGATAAACTGTCAAATTAGAGATGTCTTTGAGTTCAAGTGGGGGCATACCGAGCCGGACGATTTGGTCAGTCGCACTTTTAAACACATTTTAGTTTTTCTATAGAAAATCTACAAATTCACACTCTGATGGTTGTCATGGCAACCAGATACACTGCACGCGAATTATGGCTGCGCTTCTATTTTGCCACACTAAACTTAGCAATAAACACGTTGAAAATAATACACAATAAACATGTCTGTCAATTTTTTTGTTTGCCCCAGTTAAGCATGCGCATGCGCAACGCTGAACTTATACGTCATCCTCCCGGAGCTGCTTCTGTGTACAACTGTTGGCGCAAGCTACATTAAAGTGATAATTACGTTTTGAATATGGATATTTTTCTTACAAAAACGCATCGATTCGCTACAGAAGGCCTTTGTTCACCCCCCGGAGCCGTGTGAGACACTTTTTTATGGATGTGCGCTTTTTATTTAACTTCCTTTGGACTGAAACAATGCAACACCCGCTGAGTGGTATTAAACAGTTTGAAAGATCAAAGACAATTTTTAACTCCGACTGGATTCGTCTGAAAGAAAAA